CTACCCAGACTGCTCTTAATGGTAAAATTACATTTAAATGATGCACATTTTGGGGGTGGAAATGAGTTACTACAAGCATAATACATACACTAAGAGCAATGTTCCTACACTTCAGTAAAAGAGATCTCACACAGTTTGTGGCAAATCGCATATGCAGTTAAATAAAGGTAATAGTATCAAAGACTAAAACTTTATTTGAACGTGTGGAAAACACTTCTTAGGCTATCATTAGAAAGAAAAATATATTTTTGAGCAACAAAGGTGAAAGATCCCTGCACAATCTGTAGAAATATCCTCAATCGGCGGCTCAACTTCGACATGTAACTTCATTGGCCCTTTCACAAGAGCAGTCGTGAGTTCAGGGACTCCGCACTTCCCAAAGCACAAGATGGCACTGAAAATGATGGGTCTGGTCAAAGATCACACACGAGACTGGATTTCTTTGTCTGTTTATTAAATACCCCTCCCTCCCCAGGGGCTATAACAGGCCTCGGATTCCTTCAAGACAGAAATCCACTCGTAATAAAATACAGCTTAATTATAAAGTTTGTCACAGATTTACAGTATTCAAAGGGGCAGGTTTGAATGTAAATGTTTAATTTAAGCCATGACATTTAAAAGAAAGACATTTAAATACAGTACTAATAAAGAATGCAATATTAAATACCCCAGACATCAGTGTTGCGGTTATTTAAAAAAAAGGAATTCGAATAAAGTTTCATACAAAGAGGATATCAGGCTGGATGTTTCCTTGAAACTGCATTAAAAACAAAATACGGCTGCAGGTAAACAAATCAAAACCAACTATCACATTTCTTTTCCTATTTAAGAAGTGCATCTCTGAAAAAATAAAATCTTACTTTTCATTTAGCTCTTTGAATTACTTCAGACATGGACTGCCTCAAGAGAGGAGACCATCGATTTGCTGTAGTATTTTATTTTTAAAGTGTTCTATGGCTACTTTTTCATTAATACATTTCTTTTTTTTTTTTTAAAGTTGCCATATGCCAGGCGCAGCAAAGTTCGAAATCTGAAGTCTGAGGAACGTGGAATTATTTTAGACATCAGTTTGCCCGCTATGCTTGACGCCCTCGGATCACTATGGATTCAGAGTCCAGTTTCTTGAACACCACGAGATGTGCTACGGTCGTCCACCAGGGGGCAGTGTGAGGTTTGCCATCAGTTCATGAACAGACGCAAATATCGTGCATTCACCTGTAGGAGACAGCAAACAGACCAGTGATACAATGCCAGCGGGCTATAGTTGCAACAATGTTTATACACCGCGAAACTCTAAAAGGAACATTATCAGTCTTTCTCCTGTAAGACAGATAGCTGCACTGATATTCTAGATAGGAACAATGAAACTGAAAAAGAGTGGACGTGCATTTCAATCTAGCTGTCTAGCTAGTACAATACAAAAGTGCATATAGAACAGCAAGCATGTCTTTTACCCAAAGGGATATGGGAGTGTGGAACAAGGTACACGCATGCAGGGCGGTGATTCTGTGGCTAAGGATCTGTGCCTGTGGAAGGTTGCCGGTTCAAATCCCGCAGCCGGCAGAGGAATCCTACTCCATTGGGCCCCTGAGCAAGGCCCTTAACCCCAACTGCTCCAGAATGGCAGACCCTGTGCTCTGTCCCCAGGCTCTCTCCCTGTCTGTGTGTCTCATGGAGAGCAAGCTGGGGTATGCGAAAAGATAATTCCTAATGCAAGAAATTGTAAAGGGTTAATAAAGTGATATTATTATGATGATGCTGTCCAAGGTACTTTCGTCTTCCTTCAAGAAACACCTGAATAAGATCCTTGGATCCATAAGATACTAATAACTACCAACCAAATTAGACAGACTTAATGGCTTCCTCATTTGCAACTGTACGTTATTTAATGAAGACAATGAATCTGCAAGTAAGGGTTGCTCTGGGAAATCTTTTCACCTACACATCTACTTCAGTGCTATGAGGAGCACGCTTCCATTAGCATCCCTGTCAGAATGTCTAGGCTGTATGTTTTAATGCTCAAGAATAAAAATCAAATATTGCTTTGTGCAGTCTGATCCATTTTGTGACACTATCTCTGGATTACAGATAGTTCTGTTCTGACTGCGATAGGTATTATTTCAAACAGGTTTGGAGCAATGTGAAAGAAAAAATGTTATGTGTAATAAATGTGCTTGCTATTGACTCTATTGACCCCTCCCCATCTTGTAAAACAGACAGTGATTGAGGTGGAGAACAACGGGTGAAATAACTAATCAGTTAATCCAACCGCAGGCTGAGGGGAGGAGGGATGTGGCGATGGGACTGCACACTCACTCTGCCGGGGGGGGTGCATCTCGTTGAACCTCTTGAGGATGCTGCTGACCATGAGGGCGGCGGCCCCTGAGGAGCTGGGCTGTCTGGGAATGTCCGCCTGCTGCGTCAGCCCAGTGGCCATGTCGTAGACGATGGGCACGATGATGCTGATGGGCTCCTGGGGGACGGGCAGCCTCTGGGTCAGCTGGAGCTGGGGGGAGACAAGAGGAAGGCAGGGAGGGATATGAGTGGAGGAGACTAATGATCTTCACCCCATGTTGCAGCTTCTCTTTCCTAGAATGTCTACCAGAATGACACCTGGCACCACTGACCTTGCCTTCTAAGAGAAAAAATGCACCCCAGTGCATTCAAGAATCACCTGAACACTTTTACTAGTGGAACCAAACACTTGGGCTTGGAGTTCTTTAGACTGACACCATTTGGAGAAACGATGGTGAAGGATGAGTCATCTAATCATACATTTCCACTGCTACACCACCAAACACAAACATGCACAACCTGGTGCGATGATACGTTTGTCCCTGGCTATGGTATCATGCCCCTGTTGAGGAGTTCCCAATGGGTTGTTCTGGATGAAAATGACAGCTCGCATCCCCAACTGAAACTTGAAGTCAAAGTGATCTGAATTTGCTCGTCTGTGTTGCACAGCACTTCAAATTACTGCCCAGATATCACCATCCTGGAGTGGGAGCTTCCGGCCCAGTTGCCCTTTGCTGCTGTCTCCCTTCCATTTCCATGCTGACATCACCTTGGTCACTGTTGTATGTGAAACATCTGCAGCTTAAGCTGTCTTTGGCACTGGAGCTTGGTCACACAGCCAGGCATGTCCAACATTTTAAGCATGCTGGGATGTTGTTTGCTTATTTACCACAAGAGCCAGAGCTGTTGTGGAAGCCCTTGCTTTGGTGCGTCTCATTGACTCGGGTGTTTCCCATTTTTATTGTACGCTCCCTGCAACAGTGTTAAAATGGAATAACCTCTAACCCATTGCCTTGTTCAGAAACCTTTCCACCAATAGCTGGATATGGAGGTGGTGGGGAGGTTTTTATACTGTAGCCCAGTCACTGGATCAGAGGAATAGCAGTCAAGGCTGATTTACTTACGAAGAACAACATTTTAGACTTGAGCACCACGGCGATGGTCCCGGGAGGCGCGATAGGCGGGGCGCTGGGTGGGATGGTGAGGCAGAACTGTACATTCCACTTCAGTTGGGTGGCCTGGTCTGGGAACTGGGTCAGAACAGAACGCAGGACTGATTTAGTGCCAGGCTGAATATCCCTGGATGTCCTATTTCTACAGGACGTTTCTAGGAAGTTCTAGGAGTTAAGAGACTACGTTCGATGTTGACAATCTAAATAACTTGACACTATCACCAATTCTAACTCTTCATTACCTAACTGCACTTTTAGGACGCAAAAGGCTACAAAGTATTAAAATCGCAACTTTGTTACATTATCAGTAATATAGTTGACCTTTTCCCCCCCCCAAGAAAGTCTAAAGATTAAGTGAAAATTAGCTTTAAAATATTAGCCCTCATTTTAAATGTGACATTTCTGCGGTAAAACAACTGTACAATTTAGTTACTTAACAATCGGAAAAGTATCTGCACATGCACTTAGCATCAAAAGAAACTGCATAACTGCAACAAGTTCAGTGATCAGGATAATCACCCTTGCCATAGCAGATATCTTACAGAATGGAAAACCAAGTTAATTTTGTTGAGTAACATTTGTCATTGATTGGCTGGGAGTCTACTGTGAAAGTCACAGGCTCTATGCAAGTGTAAGGATTATTTATTCGGAACATCTGGAAACAATACAAGCTGTACGCCTGCATTGCAAGCTTTGTGCCAGGATACAGATGCTTTCCTGTAGGATTCAGTACTATTCTTCTCATAGAGCCCGGTCTCTGAATCCAAAATGCCACACATTGTCCTAGATCATCAAACAATGTGCATCCCCACAGGGTTCAGGTGTGGAAACGGTCACATTCCCATCGCCACACAACTTTGTCCTGCTACAGTGTTATCATATTAGGACGAGACCGCAGGAAGATCAAACATGTGAGGTACCAGGACTTCCTGATACAGGGCAGTCAGGTGGTCATCACTCACTACAAGTGGAATTCCATACTCAACAGACAGCCCTCTCAGATTGTCACACTTGGATTATAATGAACTGATCTGGAAAGGGTGTGATGACTCATGGTCTCCCCATAACTTCCTTCAATCGTTCGCTCATTATGGACAGACTGTTTAATTGGAACATCTTGCCACATCAGAAATTCCTAGCTGTGGAACATCCCAAAACAGTCAGCACTGTTGCTTTGTAAGTCTCCAACATATTGACACAAAGGCATTCATCTCTTGATAAGGGAAGCATATTTCCTGTTTCTTTCTTAATTTGTTGAAAATCAAGCCTAGTGAAATCAGCTTGTCACCTATGCCAGATCAACGCTAAGGCAATTCATTGCCTCACAGTCAGTCAAAAACATATGTTCAATAGCCAAAATCAATATGCTGTATCTAAAAACATATATATGCGTAGAATGATATATGTTTTCTGTTTGATGATGAACACTATATATTTAAATTTCTCAAAAACTGGCTTCCTTTGTTTTGGAAAAAGCAGATGAACATACAGTACTTTGCCAGTTTTCCATCATATTATCCTATGAAACAAACACGTGGGAAATGAAGATTTTTACCTGACAGCAAAAGCACTTACCAGCTCCAGTTTCATGATGCGTACACAGTCCCTGAGGATGTGTGTGGGAGCCCCTAGGAGCTTGGTAAAGGCATTTAGTGTGTTGTATTTAAAGGGTGGTCCAGCGACCTGTGAGAGAAGGAGAGACAAATAACGGAGCATAAGACACAAAGTTCTGGCCCATGACAAAAATTCCAGCCCAAACTACCTATGATTTGGTAGAAGTTCCGCTAACCAGTTTTAACGAGTTTTACTGTTCTAAGGTTAAGATATTTTTGTCCAATTCTCCAAGTGGTTCACTTCATCTTCCACTCACTTTGATTCACAAAGCTGCTCTGTGGTGCTCAAAGCAGCATTTTCTTGAACCAAGTCACACCAGCACACACTCCATACTACATAGTATGCTATGTCTTTTACAGCTTATTCATCCTGTACTTGTTTTGGTCATATATGGGATTAATCAATTTGCTTCAAATCCAGACTGATTAATCCATTTTCAACTTTTTTTTCCAAATAGCCATCTAAACATTAACTTTTTCTGCACCATTATATTAATGGCAAGGACTTCAAACAGGCCATACAAACATAACTCACAAAACCTAAACTCTGATATGATATACACAGTTAGAGGAAGATTTTATCCTAACAGAGGGGAGCAGGATCATAGTCAAAAGACTGACAGAATTTTAGACTGCAACACATTTATGTTTTACATGACCTTCCTGCAAAAGCATAATAAATGCTGAAATATCTATATATAAACATGGACTCTCATCACTATTTACACTAAAGAACACTAAATCAAGGAGAATTAGGCCACTCAATGGAAAGCAGTACACTATTTAGTATTAAAAATCTGACTAAATTACACTCTGCCCCATAGAACAAAGCATAAAGGAGGGAAAAAATGCTCTAGTTTTGGAGCTTGGCGGTCAAGAACGTTTATTGAGCCACACGCATAAGCCCAGTAATATTTCACATTTACGGCCTACAGCTTTGCTCTCTGGAATTTTTCCCCAGGTCTCCAATGCTGCACAGGAACAAAAATCCCACCACTCACGAGCACCACCTGCAGTCTTACCCTGGTCTCAAAGAACTTCTCCAAGACCTGCAGCTCCTCCTGGGACCAAGGCCCTGTGTTATCAGGGGTCACCTTGAGCTGTAGGGTCTGGTAGGTCTTGGGGTTCAGGGCCACTCTGCATTTGAGCACATCCGTCTTGAACATGATCACCCCTGGCTCATTGGAATTCACAATCTGGAGCTACAGGAGCCAGAGGGAGAACAGAGGGTGTAGGAACACGACAAAGCGTAACGCCTGTTAGAATAATTTCAACAGGCAAAAGAGCAAAAACAGGAACTAATCTATAAGCTACTGATCCTGAATGCGAGTTGGGGTTCGCCCACCTTAGTGATATGCACTAATAGTCTATTACATGCTTCTTCAAAGTCAAATAGTTCATTTATAATGGGACAAGAAGGAAGAAGAGCAAAAAGAATTAACAAGAAACCAGTCACACTTAACTACCAAATCTGTTTAGGGCCACTTTATGCAAACACACTTAGAAGTCATCGTCTTCATCTTGCACCATCTTTCAAATGCATTCTGAAATAAGATTCATAGACTCATCACGGAGAAGGACTGTCACAGTAAGAGACAGCAGGCCCAGAAAGCGTGCTCTACCAGCAGGATGGAAGAGGAGCTTGCCTAAGGATTTAGAGCTAGAGTACGATCTCTTGTTAGATCTCATCTGTTAGATGCAAAACCACACTCCCAACAGCGTGGCACAGGATGAGAAGACAAAAAAGGCGTTGGGGCCCTGGGTAACGGAGACGGGAGGTTTTCTGGAAGGCAAGGGGGGGGGGGGGGCGCTTACGTTGGGCTCCTGCTGGATGATCCTCTGCAGGTGACGCCTCATGATAACCGAGCCCAGGAAGCGCTCCAGCGGGGAACACAGGTAGCTGCCAGCCAGGCCAGGCACCAGACAGGGGGTGGGCGATGGCAGCAACAAGACATGCAAGGCACTGTGGGTCAGGATGGTGGGGATGGAGGCCGCCCAGGAGCGCTGAGGTAGCTTACGAGGAGGCGGCATGTTTGTCGGCATTGCCTGGGAGCCTGGAACACAACCCCAAAGAAAGGATGTCACTTCAGGCGAAAATGTGTCCATGAAACATAAGATTTGTGTTCGGGGGGAAAAAATAAGGTCTCTCTATGATAGATTTCATTTAATATGTCCTGAGGAATGTTAATATACTCAAATAAAGTGGCCTGCAGACTTAAATCGCTTCACTCCCCTTATGCCCCCTGAATGGTACATTTGGAAAACAGAAGAATAAGAGGCTGGCGTCTCGGACAGGGCGAGAGCAGTCATGTGCTCCGCATTTCTGCGAAAGCCTCCGGATTACTGTGACCCTCACAAGGAGGAGGAGCTACAGCCTGATAACCGAGTGGAGGGGGCTAGTTCATGTACTCCCAAACAAAATCAACAGAAACTAGCCATGCCAACAGGGGAAATCAACAATAGTCAGCAATGGTGCTCGACAGGCTTTACTCATTGCTGAAAGCCCTCTTCGGCTTAGGGGAAGCTATCCATCACGAGCGACTGCAGGACACGCGAGTGCTACGCCCAGCGGTGGAGAGGCGTTTAAAGACGCCCAGCTCTGGTCTGCGGGGACTTACTCGTCCCGGCGCGAGGGGAATGTGAGGCGTCAGGGATGGGGGAGTGCAGGGAAGGGTTGGCTGGCGACATCCCCGGCATGCGAGCGGCGGGCGAGGGGCCGGACACCTGGGGCGAGCCCGGCCAGTTGCTGGAGCGCTGACCAGGCGACATCAAGGCGTAAGGAGAGCTGGGGTCCAGGGTGCCTGCAAAGCGCAACAATAATTTCCGCAACTCCCAACACCAAAATCAGGCAACTGGCACATTGAAGCTTTGATACGAGATTTCTTTTTATAGCAGCCTCTGAGCAGAAGTACCCCAGAAACACACACATGTGCAGAAAAGGTCCCCCACCTTCTTCTTAGCTAACTCTAATACAAGGTTCAGATGAAAACTGCTTCATTTACATTTTATGACGGTTTAAAAATTGAGCAACCCAGCCCCTCGAACAGACTCTTACCTGCAGCTGTGTGAAGTAGTGGTTGAGGTTTTGAGCTCATAAATGAAAAGTCATGGGTTCAAATCCCAGGTGGGACAGTGGTGTTGTTGCATGTTACTCAGACTGCTTCACTAAAATACTCATCTGTATAAATGGGTTCAAATGTAAACTGATTTCTATAAAAATGTCAGTATTTAATACAGTATAAATCTCATTAGAATGTTTTCTGTCCACACAGGAAAGAGCAAACTGGCCTTTTCTTACTCCCAGGATAGCTGCAGAATAAAAACCCCAAATGACAAGCTGTTGAAACATTAAGGGCTGCTCTCTGGCTCTTAGCACAGTGGGCAGAAGGCCAGTCCTCTTCAGAAGGCCTCTGAGAAGAAGAAAGACTTCAGCCCACACTCTTAAAATATCTCCACAGAGCTTTCTCCAACCACAGAACTAGCCATTCAACCACTTGGCCTCTGAGCATTTCATGAAATATGAGCTGGGAGATAGCAGGACATTTTGACAATTCAACGTCTTAAAGTGGCCTCAAATGTATCATCTGCATTTATGGTGAAGAGAGTAGAGGTAGAGGAAGAGAGTAATTAAGTAAAATTAAGTGGTAAAGATGGATTTTTACTAATTTCTTTACACAATAACAGCAAAGGATTCAGCAGACAATCACGCAAGGAGAAAGAAAATGTAAAAAAAAATGTATATTCATACCAATCATTAAAATAGTCATAAATTTCCTGCAGCATCAATTTATGCCGAACATTTCCACTAAAAAAATGGCAACCAGCCTTTGTTGAAACGAAGAGCAGAAATTAAGTTTGCGCGACATATTAGAATATAACAAAATTAATGAAAATACTTGTCATGAAAGACCAGAATATGATGGAAAAGTATTTCAGAAAGTTTCATGGCACATTTTGTAACCAAAAAGATGGGGGTAACGGCTGGTTGGAAATCGATGTCCTTGATTTTCATTCACTGGGAAGCATAAGCAGAGAGATCGCAAGTTCAACTACCGTTCAGCCGCGCGCTTTAAAAAGCCCCACTGAGAAGCTGTATGCGGTGCAGAATCATGTACCGTGTCCTGCGGGCCTCGCCTTCACTTCCACTTACCGTGCGGGCTGGCAAAGTTGGACGTCTGCCCCATTGAAATCCCCAGAGAGGAGGGAGACGGGGTGGGGCCAAACGATGCCGGCGAAGGGGCCCGCAGCGCGCCGCTCGGGGAGCTGGCGGCGTGGATGGTCCCTGCACACAATCAACCAGTCGGCTCGTCAGACACCAGCGTGCAAAGTCACGTCAAACACAGCAGCTAGGCGGGTGGGTCCGAGCTGATGGCGGGATGTCTGGGATGGGGATGGCGAGACCGAAAGTATGCCTCTCACGAGGTGAGGATTCCGTACTCGCTAGAACGCATCCTGGAAACCGCGGCGTGGCTTCGCTTCATACAAACAGCAGGTGCGCTGCAGCTAAGCATATGGTTCTCGGCTCATGTGGGGGCTATGGTTTTTGACCAGCAAGCAGCTACTGTATTGCAGAAAGAGTAAACTGAGGGGGGGGGGGGAGTTTACCTGGGGACTGCGTAGGCATCATGGAAGGCGAAGGGGTCACTCCTGTGTGGTAGGAGGTGGGGGGCGACGTTATGGGGTAGACTCCTGTCCCACCTGCCTGCTTCCCAAATGGCTGAACACCGGGGGGAGAAAAGGAAGACAGCGACACAAGCTTAGCTTAGATTGCTCCACTGATTTAAGACTTGCATTTCTGGGCTATCTACCTTAAAAAACACACAGCCGTAAAGAGAACCCCCAGACACATTGTGCCACTGCAGGCCCATGGCACAGTCTTCTGTATAAGAGAATGCCTTCCACAAAGCCTGAGTGTTTCAGATGCTGCTGCATTTGTCTCCTTTTTTTGCGCTTTATGTTGTACCTCCACAACGAGACCACCAGGTCTCATGGCATTACAACCTCCCAGGGTTTTTACAAGCAAACAAACGTCTCACCAGTTTGGTCTAATCCCCTTTTGGCCGTTAGACCGGGGGGGGTTGACAAAGGGCTGTCAAAGTGATACTCCAAAAGAAGCACAGAGGACAAAGCGTATTTTCAATAGAATCATTTTTAATGTAAATGGGGCAAAGCTGTAGGGCCTCACCTGGGGCTGGCCTGGAGGAGGCTGCAGTTGGGACATGAGAGCATCCATCACATCCACCCCCACGGGCGACGGGGGGTTGTCATCCTCGTTGACGGACCGGCGCCGGGCGTCCTGGTTACTGTCCACAAACATATTCAGGAATGTCTGGAGGGAGGCACAGAGGAGAGAGTTCAAGCTACCGGTCTCGAGGGGGAAAATGAGCCACACTCACAATGACAGCAACCCAGTTATTATTTATGCCACTACCTTTCTATTTCACTTCAGTTACCCTAGCTACTAATAATGTTAGTAGCTATCGGTGTGTGACCTAAACAAAAATGGATTTTAGGTTTTGGAAATCCAGAGAATCTCCTCAAGACACTTATTAATGCAAAGGCTAACGAGCTTTCCATGACTGATGCTTTAGTATTCACTTTAACGGTAAACGTAATTCTTAAACCGACAACTTTTTTCTATACGCACAAGAAGCAGAACAGCTAACTTTGCTCCTCGCATCTACGAACCCCACAGGCGCATGTGGGAGAACGGGCCAGTAGAGACAAACTCCACGTTTGAGCCACAGCTGGGGGAACCCCGGTCAAAGCTGACTTGTGACGCCACTCAGGTTGGAAACCATGATTACAGAGCTCAGGCTGCACTTCGGAGGAGCACCTTCACAGGTTGAGTCACTAGTGAGGACCCAGTTAATGCAATGCTTACTCAGCTTCTAAATAAGCTGATTAGTCAGCCCTGGACTGGGTTGGAAAAATAAAGATTTCCAGTCCATGGATCAGTCCTGGTAAAGGAAAATTATCTCAGTCGGAAAAAAAAGGAGAATGCGTGAGAAAACAAAGGGGAACCTTTCCTGGAAGAGAAACCCACACTATAAGGTACAAAACAGACACTTGTACATAAACACAGCAGGCATCACCTTAAGACCAGGCGCAGGGTAGAAGCCCTCCACAATCTTGGTGTTGTCAAAGAGGCTGTAGGCCCCGTCGCGGATGGCCACCACGCCTCGGCTGCGGCAGTAGATGTCGATACAGTACATGTTGCGGAAGGCCAGGCGGATGTGCGTGGGAGACTGTGGCAGGATGGAGAAGCACTGGTAGGCCGTGTTGGTCCTCTGGGTCAGACCCAGCATGGGCACAGTGGGCAGCTTATTGATGGCATTGAGAGGACCCTGCGTGTCAAACAGCACCTGCAGCACAGCAGTGGGGAGGGAGGGGAGAACAGTGAGCAGACTCCGACATCCATCGGCAACCACCTGTTTCACTACCTCTGCCAGAACACGGCCTGATTGTGACAATCCCCACACACTGCAGCTCTAGGAAAAGCAATGACGCCTGGCCTTGGCTCCTGACCCAACTGACAGGAAGAAATCACCCAGTGGACTAAAACCTCTCCACTGTTTTACCATGTCTGCAATGTCACCGTGTTGTCATGTACAGGAACTATTAAGGATGTTAAATGAAAGTAACTGTCAATACCAGTTTCTTTTACAAAACACATAAGCAGATGGCTTCCTTTCATAAGGTTGAGAACAGTGCATCAAAGAATTATCCTAAGGTATGGATAGTTGCAGATCAAACAGGCCATCTTATATGACTAAAATCTGTAGGTTTTCTGTAAAAATGTTTTTTTTTATTTTAGCATAAATTCACCACTGAGCTTCATGTAGGTCCTAGAGATATATAAAGGGCCAAAGGTTTGTTAGTTTTTCATAGAAAAGGGCTGGATCAAATCACCCCTGATTATTAAGTGAAGTACTCACACAGCTAGACCTAGCTATCACTTTAACTGGACTGATTGAACTAGGGGTGTGTTAACTTTTTCACACTAGGACACTGGATATTGTTGGACGTTTGAGATGACCTTTTTTATTAAATAAATGAAACAAGCATAAAACTTTGGAGTTATCCATTCACTCAGACTCCCTTATTATATCACTAGAAAACACACAGAAACAACATTCACTGTGGGCAAATGTGCAAAAATCCAGGAATCCTGAAATATGGTGAATATTTAATAATTAACAATTAATTATAATAATAATGGTTAATTGTTTGCAGAACTGTAGTACTAGTATAGAATATTCTAGAACTATCATTATATATTCAAATATATGTAAGTTAGAACAAATCACCCAAAATAAATAACCATCTAAGCATGGTGGAACATCATTTTTAAGAGCCTTAGCTCCTCTGATATGAACAGGGGTGTACCTGCAGGAGCTGGACCACACTGGGTGTCTTATTGAACATTTCCTGAAGCTGATGAAGGATGATATTGTGACAATTACTGCAGCCTGAGTTGGGCCCCACAGTCCCCAGAGAGATGTGAAACTTCTGGGTCACAGAGTTCCACTGAATCGTGATCTGGAGAAGAAGAAAGATGAACAATCTGTAAACTCAAAAACAATGACGGTGCACACAAAACCATAACAGAAAACCAAATACGTGCTCTAAACTACACATTCAAGCACTAATCATGGGACCTAAAAAATGGGGGGGGAGATCACAACAGAAATCATAATTCTGTGATCAGAAATAAATGATTCCTGAATCAGACATTTTTAAAAGACAAATGGTTTACTGACTAGGCGGTTGCAAATACGTACATAGTGGAATGAAAGTCATTTAAAATAAAAACTCAGTTATTATTAATTAATCAAGAATCAATTAACTTGTCCTGATCTACTCCTTTTGAGTAGGTGGTCATACTGTAGTTACTGAACTGGATTATAAAAGGACCACAAAGCACAATGTAAGTAACACTGAAAAGTTCATAGAAGCTATTCTGACCTTTCCTCCTCCAACTTGCGTGCACCCTTTACCACAAAGAGTCCGATACCATCCAAGAAAGATGGGACAGAATGCCCACACAACTATCCATGACTACACATTCTGTCATTACTTTCAAATGCCAACACACTTTCCACATCAAAATATACTAAATATACAGTATGAAGTTTGTTATACTCAACATAACATTTGTACAGCAAGGCTCCATTCTGCATTTTACAAGAAAATTAACAAGATAGAGCCACTTAAGTGTCCCTTTAGCAGGGCCATTGTTTATTTTCCTTCTTATGTAGAATACTAACAGAAAATTAGCTGTGGGAATGTGACATAAGATATTTGAAAACAGTCGAACAATGAAAGACAGAATGTAAGACTGCAATTCAGAAGAAGAATTCCAAACACGTTATTTTTTGCTGGTTTTATAATCGCCTTTGATACAAGACAGAAAAGCCTACAGCTAGAAACTAAAATGCTCAAAGATGAATTCTTCTACTAGCTTGAATGGATCTAAACAGCTCACTTTACTGCTCATAAATTCCTGGGGTTATCAGAGCAAGGGCTCCGTGATACTTACTGAGCTTCCTTTAGTGCTGCCGTAGCCCAGGACAAGCTTGCGGTAATTATAGAGCCGGATTTCAGAGAACAGGCTTAAATAGGAGGGCATGTCTAAGAGGGAGAGAGAAATGAAGAACTCAGCATTCTGCTGAAATCATAGTTGCGTTTCAGATGGAAAAGTCCGCTCTCACTGCAACCCACAGCTGGGCCCTTTCAAATCACCAAGCTCCAGGGTTTCTTCAGTCACTCGATACAAACACAAGGCTATCACCAGATAACCAGCTGAAGAGTCACACCCCCCCCCCCAGCCCAGTCCAGTGCTCTGTCCCTTCACTCTTCATCACACTGGTCTACATATCATGCCAGTAATTTCTGCCATGCTGGAAACGGGACGTTACTGAGTAATCACGCCATTGTCATCCATCGTACTAGAAAAATCCCTCCAAGACGTGGTGAACTGGAAAAACAGGGCGATTTCCCTCCTCACCTCCAAGCGACCGTGCAAAGTCCAGGACGCACTCGTAGAGCTGGGCGATGCTGCACCAGTCATTCAGGAACATCTCCACCACCTTGCGCCCCCCCACCGGCTCCGAAAGGGGGTTCTCGTAGGTCAGGTAAACGTGCCGCGTGGACGCTGCCGAAACAGAAGTCACGCGTTTGAGCTGAGCCACATCCCAGTCCTGTCCTGCTTTTCATTCCCTCTTGCAGCCGTTCAGCTGAAAGCTCACTATTTTAGAGGGCAAAGAAAGTTAAGTCCAGGATACTGGGTTTGAGCAAGAATATCTCCACTTGCACTTAAGTAGAACAATCACATAAAGAGTCAACTTCCAGAGAAGAAACATGGGAATCACAGAAGCAACCAGAGACAGAGGGTAGATCACATTTCCTCCCTGTACTCAAAACCCACCCAGAACAACAGCTGTATTAACAACTTTAATACAGGAGAGAACTGCAGCTCTAGGCTGTCTGCCTTGCTGAAATCACTTGCAAATATCCCAGTGGTGAACAAGACTAATTAAAGCACAGGCTGCTGAAAGATCAAAGAGAGAGCTCAATTAACATGCAATGGACCATTAGCTGGAAGACACTACATAGTTCTAAAAACAACCCTCCAAGGTGGGAGAAGATGACAGGAATGGCCCAGGGAGTCACAGATCAGTGCCTGCAAAGACCTAAGAATCCTCCATGTCCATCTTTTAACTCCAACAACATTCCCAATCACAATCCAAGCTACTCCTAAAAATGAGGGAATAAACTATTAGGACAGTTCTATAACCCTGTATTCCTGTGCCCAGTCCTACACAATCACAAAGATTTAAATTACCAGCAGGAAGCCACTGAAGACAAATGAGTTGGTACAATCAGGAACAGTCTGCCTTATTACTCTCACACCAGACGCTATAAACAGATATAAAAAGCACAGGTTTCTGAAAGCCAGCTCTGTAACTCTTGTAAAATGAATCGACGCACAATGAAAAAGACTCTTAACGAGGTCTTCAAACTACCTCATGCACAGAATGAACTGTAATCCGTAGGTCTGGTACCAGTTTATGGAAAAATACAGATCGCACATTAGTAGCAATGCTGAAACTGGTTGCGCATACATTTCAAAATGCCTTGCACTGCTCTTGAAAACCTTTAAAAGACTAAGATTAAAGTCACCGATTCAGTTTGTCCGAGTTTGCCTTGCCTGCACTTCACCAGCATTAGCTATTCCCTTTATAAAAAGGGCTACCCTGATAAAAGCAATACCCACTGGTACAGCCAGCCAAGATTATTTGTTGGGGAGTTTCAGAAGCCATCTCATTTACATGATCCTACGCAATGGAAACAAGAGACAAATCCCACAAGCCCACAGCAGTAAGGGCATGGTAAGAAATAAACAGTCAAACAGCTTAACAGCTCAAGGAGACACTTTCGGTTGCTGAGAAAGTTTAAAAAAATCACTGACTTTCTGAAACGACTATTCTTTCCCTAAACCCTGATAGCCCTTTTCCCCTTGTTTACCTACATCTCATTTCCCAGGTTACATTCGAAATATGCAAAAACCACACATGGGTCTCACAATACATTCACAGCACTGGGGAGCCCTGGGATCAATTCTGGAGCTGGGGAGCTATCAGTACATGGCGTGTTTGTATGTTCTGTGTTCAAATGTGTTTCCTCCCACAGTCTAAAAACATGCTGGCAGGTTAACTGGCTTCTGGGAAAACTGAGCGCGCGTCTCAGCGTCTATGCCCGTTTGCCTTGCAATGGACAGGTTTCCTGACCAAGGTATATCCTGCCTTGTGCCTGCTGCTTGCCGGGATAAGCTCCAGCTCCCTTCACCGCCCTTAATTGGAAGAAGCAGTTAAAAAACTGGATGGATAGATCGGTAGGTCTCAAGAAAACTTTCGGATCTTGGGAAGTTGACATTAGATCTATAAAGAGCGAGGAGAGCAGTAAGATCCTTCCATGGGTGTCGAGTGAGGAGTGAGCATCATGCAGTATCCACCAGGGCTCCGTTCCACACTCTCTTTTCACACCCGCTTGCCAACCTTCAAAGATTTTCTGAAATTTACTGAAAAATGTAAGTAACACATTTTGCAATCAGGTCAGGTAAGCACCCAGGCAATTCTTATTTACTGTGCATCTAATCCCATGATTATTTACTGAATAGTACAGTGAAATGAACAGTATACATTTGTTAAAAGGTAACTGTCTCCAATGTTTATCTACTGTACTATATATTTTTAAGTGCATGCTACAAGTTTTGTTCTCATTTGGTTTTTAATTTCTCTCCCCCTATAGAAAGGGATGAAGTTCCCTTCCTCTACCTTAAGGACTGCAAGCTTAAGACATGTGGCTAACAGCCCAATCATGCTCTCCTGTCCCTCCTTCCTCCACTCGCGGACACAGCTGGGGAAAACAAGACAAGATCGCTGCAATATCCCAAAGAGTGAGCCTCTAAACGTGTTCAGCAATGGCTAAGAAAGTGTCGCATTCAACTTACACAAAATGCAGGTTATGTAAAGATTTGTGGAAGGGAACCCTTATTCTACATGTTGTGTTAAATAATAAGGATAAAATTAAATAACGGAGGAACTTATTTGTAGCTTGAGTTCCTTGGGCTCAGTGCTGGTCTCCCATGCTCTGGGGAAATATTTTCTGTGTCTCAACCTGTAAATGCTCCTTTATTCAATGCTTTCTGCAGTGGCACTACAGAAACACCAGCCTAGCTACAGAAATCACTGGCACCCTCACACAGAAATTGCTGGGCCACAGAATAAGTGACTTTAGGAGCATCCAAATAGCCTTTACAAAACAGTTCAAGTAGGGAGCTGCATCAGCATGCCTAGACTGCAAAGGAACAAGTAATAGGTTTATTCCATGCTGAAGAGAAGAAATGAAACAATGTTTCGTCCGTGGAGCCTTCTGTGCCACACCCGAATTTGAAGCACCCGAAGAAGGCTCCATAGCCAAAACATTGTTTCAATTCTTCTCTTTTCAGCATGGAATAAACCTTAATTTGTTCCCTTGCAGCCTACAGAAAAAGCTCTATAAAACGGAAAACATTTTTCTACACATCACCGCCACCGTGGCGGTATCGTCTAGAGCCTGAGCAGAGTTTTTTTAGGAATATTTAAATTTGCCACTGGTTTAAAAAAAAGGGGTGATTTGACTTCTTACTGTCAATTAGGCTATTAGGTTCAAGGTGGAATAAAAGCACGCAGGATCTCGTGCCTGGAGAACTGGAACTGGCCTCCTGCGAGGTAGAACTGGAAAGCAGGAGAAGAGCCTGATCCCCAGATCGCCTCCCACACCCGATCGGCAGGGCCCCTGGCGCTGACCTTGCTCCTTGCTGGAAGTGCTGGTGAGCGGGCAGTTGGCGAAGACCAGCTCTGCCACCCAGGTGCGGTTGTTCCGGCCCTGCAGGCGGAACGTGCAGTCCAGCAGGGAGCGCTCCAGGACCCTCCGCGTCTCCTCGCTCACGCCCTTACTGGGGGGGATCCTGGAGGGACAGGGAACAGCAAGACGCACCGTTGTCTCAAGGGACACCGACAAATCAGCCGCCTACCGTAAACCCATTACGGATCTACCTTGTAGCTTGATTCTTACCCAGTGCTGGTCTAATAAGGATAATATTAAATAAGGATGATGTTAAATTAACTGAGGAACTTATTTGTAGCTTGATTCTTACCCAGTGCTGGTCTAATAAGGACAATATTAAATAAAAAAAATGTTAAATTTACTGAGGAACTTATTTGTAGCTTGATTCTTATCCAGTGCTGGTCTCCCCATGCTCTGGGGAAATATTTTTCAACGTTTCAACCTGTAAATGTCCCTTTCTTCAGATTCAATGCTTTCTGCAGTGGCACCACAGAAACGCACCAGCCTAGCTACAGAAATCACCGGCACTCTTGAACAAAAAATGTCCAAAAATGCCTGAGCATACGAAGGCAAAAAGGACATATTTCCTGAGAGAGATTCATCTGTGTATCTGTGAATCATTTAAATCTGCTGTCCGGGAGGCACAAAAAAATGGAGAAACCATCAACATAAGTAATGGCATCATTATTTTTTACTATCAGTGAGGTCCGCGAGGCAGAGCTGAAAAGCAAGAAAACTTGATTTCGCACTTAAAATGAAAAAATAAATCAGACCCATTATTTCAGCCGCGGAGCCTCACCTCAGCTGTCCTGAGTCAAACCCTTGGCCCCACAGCCCAAATTGCACATTTTACTTTTCCGAACATAATCTGCACAAATTCAATAAAACCACTTTCTGGAATGACAGGAGTTACTCCAAAAAAAAAAACTAATGAGCTAATCCTTGCATAGTAAGGACTAAGCTAGCACAAGTTCCTCTAAATAACACACCCTGAAGAATCAAACAGGCAACAATAAGCAGCTTCGCACTAGCTGGGCCACAACAGACCCCTTTTCCACAGGAAGTACCTACTTCAGAATGCGAATGGCATGACTGCAGCCATCCCCTTCAACCTGCACTCCCTGGTGAGGAATCTCCATGGTGGACAGCTGGAAGAGAAAGGCAAGGACGAGCTCAGAAGCTGCGCTCACAGCCAATACTTAAAATTAAGCCCTTGGGAAATGTACAGCCCCCAATTCCTCCACCCTAAAAGTTATGAAGAGAGGTCTGCAAATTTTTAATTAGTACAGCCTGTTTTGCAAACATTACATGGAAAATATCACATTTCAATACTGTCTCAAGACGGAGCTTCCCGGACTCTCTACGGCTGAAGTTCTTGTAAGGCGGTATGAAATAAAATGAGTAAAATAAATTAGGATTAAGTCTTCAAAAACATGGAAGATGACTCTTAAGGGTTACAAATTAAAGAAAAGGCGTGTCTAAAAAAGATAAAAAAAGAGCCACAAGCTTATTTCTCTGAAAACATAAAATACAGAAGGGTCTCAACGTTCGCAAGGGTTCAGTGCAAAAAACTGTCACAAATAGCCAAATTAAAATATAACCAAGTGCACCCTTATACCATTGCATAACATACTACAGTATATAGCATGTGTGGTTAAAAGGCATAAGTAACTCTCCCTTATATGACAGCTAAAGTACTAATGCATTGGCTTTAAGTCAATTAAAATAACACAGATCAACTAAAACATACTACATCAGCCAAAATAAACAACATGAATCGCTCCTCTGTGTCCAGCGAATGTCTGGACTTTCGCTCTCTGCATCTGTGATAAGCATGGCCCACAGGAATGAAAAGCCCCGCTGGTGTCTGCAATAAGAGCAGACAGCCTCACTGCTGCAGGCGGTGGCCAGGCGGATCCCTCACCTCACAGCGGAGTCCGATGAAGGGCATGTTGGTGTCGCACATGGCTACAAGGTGGGCCAGAACCTTGTTGAACGCACACATCTCTCCCGCCCGCTTGGGTTTCTTGGGCTCAATGGCGCCCTGGTCCCCAGATAACTGCAAGAGTCAACGCAAATTGAAGATAAGGGTTACCGCCTTATTTCTCATTTCTTTATCTCATCGCAAATAGTAAGCGTGACAAGGGTGAAATGACAACGAGGCTGGGAACGAAAAGATTTAAAGGAACTACCCTTCTGGCAGTTGTTGCAGCCTCAACCGCCTGATGGGCAAGCGCTTGCAGCGTGCTCTGAAAAGGCTCAGACCCAGCCCTGCAGTCAGAGCTCTCTGGCGTGTTATATCTAGCTCAAACCAACTGAACAGCAGATTTCCTGTATCACACAGAACAGCAATCAAGGATGAACAGAAACCACAGAGCATTCTGACATCGAACAAGGCAGCTTGGGCATTCTGCACAGCTGCTGCACCTGGTTGTATTACAGCACATTTTACGTATGTTTGTCTACTTGTCTATCTATGCATAAATACAAGGGTTTTATGAACAGATTTTCAGAAACAATTGTGACTGTTTTGCAACACGTGCATTTTAGCCACATTTTAATGTGTTTAAAGGACATTAAAGTTACAAACAAAAGATGACCCTGATGAGTTCCTAACTTGTTTGGTCAAGTTAGGAGCTAATTGATCCAAGGATCTCATCCAGCAGAAATCAAGGTCCCAGCTTCAGCACAGCCAAGTAGCTTGCTCTGAACCCCCAGAACTCTGTATAGGTGCCACTTGTTCACATGTTTCAAATTCACTTTCACGTAGCTCTCACTTGTGGCCTCATCACTGTTCACTTTAAAGTTGTTCACAAGGACAAGAGTTTCAGTGCCTTTGGGAGATTTTGAGTACTTGAAGCAGGTCCTCTTGTAGTTTCCGTTCAAGACTGAAAGGTTCAGTTCATTTAGCTTGTCTCCATAAATAAAACATGTGGGGTGAAATTTCATTAAAACCTTTTAAGTATAAAGTATTCAAATGTACCTGCAGTTAAAGCCTGCTCATTCCAACCTGCAGAAGTGAGCACAGATGCATATTTTTTCTAAGACAGAAAAAAATGCGCCAGGCCCAATCTTGTACAGTTAAGCATCCTTCATATTCTAGCAGAGGAGCAGCAGATAAACACCACTGTTTCCACACTGTGACGCAGCTCTGTGACGGGAGAACCCCTCCCCAGTGGGATCAATGTGCCGAGCAGGCAGCCATGTGGAGATCTCCTGCTGTGAGCCACAGACGCAAGTGCACTCATTTTAGCATGACTCTCTGCACCTCTTCAAAAACAAAAGACTTCACATGGCTCATTTTCATTTAAAACCCTAAGTGCCAACAATATCTATCTCAGCAAACCACATCAAAACAAATCCGGGTATACTGTACCTGCCTGTAATACTCAAGAATTTAGAGATACTACAGAAAAGAATTCAATGTATTACATACTTCAACCACACAGAAAAAATAACCCACAGATAATTAATTCATTTATTATGATCATCATTATTAGTTTAACCAATGCTTTTACCAACTTTTACATTCAAATCATGGCACCCACTTACACAGCTGGCTTTCCTGGAGTAATCCGATTAAAACAACTTGCTCGAGGGTACATCTCTGTGCCTATGAAAGCCGAACCCTACTCCAGTCCAGAACCCTAAACAAAACAACTCTTCACAGATTTTCACGTGCCAACAGCATTTAGGTGTATGTGGTGCTATTTGCAAAATGAACAAATCCATGAATGAGGAGTTATCACCCTATCTTGTTTTGCACTAATTCTATTTTACGTGCACTGGAACTATACTACATAAAATCTTGTGCGAGAGTCAGTTTGCAATACTACGCAATTTACCTCTCCCAATTCACTCCAGATCAAGATAAAAGCCGAAGAAAAACTACGCCACGGCTCACAGTCTGTAACACCTATACTACATCCACCATATGCTTTGTGACCTGGGTGAGGTGAAGCGTGAGCTCTGTGGTGTAGTCGCCTACCTTCCTTTTTGTCCCCGACTTGGCCCCCCGTCCTGGTGTGGCATCCAGGACCAGCTCCTCCAGGTTGGGCTTGAACTGCTGCAGCAGCTGGGCGCTTGGGGGGCCCTCGTCCCCCTCCAGCATGGTCACCGACAGGAAGTAGTACTTGTACTCCAGCTCCGTGGGGCAGCCGGGGACGTCGAACATCTCCGCCACCTTCACAGCGGCAGGAGAAGGAGAAGAGCAGGTGGGCTGGGGCTAACGCGGTCACGGTTCAGACCAACACGGGGGTGAAACTCTCGGCTTGGAGAGAGAAGGCGGAAAGCGCCAGCAGGAAGTCAGAACGAGGCGCGAAACAACGGAAGCAGACGGGCAACCCTGAATGGCCGCGCGTTTGCTTCTTCGCGCTTTTCGGCATGGCCTCTGCCTGTTACTTTGAATCCCCCAGGCTGATGTGGTTCCCCTCTGCCACCTCTTGATCAACACAAGCATGAAACACTTGAACACAGGCCTAAAATATTATTCCTCATTCCTGCCGCAACAGCTATAGAGCAGATCAGGATTAAGCACCGCTTGGCTGTAGGGGCAGCTCTACAACACTGTAGCACAATCCTCTGTAAGTTGCTCATATTTCATAGACAGGAGTAACACACTCTGCAGAGCACACTAAATGACGTTTTCCAGTAAACAGTCAAGATGTTTTCAGGGCCTGGCTTTTCAGTACGGCTTTTCTGTTTAAGTAACGATCCCATGGGCTGTGCCCAGTGCCGGCGCCGGAGGGCAGGAGGTGCACTTACGATGTAGTACTGCGGGAGGCGCGTGAGCCGGATGAAGAGGCGGTGTTTGGAGAGGCTGCCGGCCGGATGGGAGGCGGCGTTGGAGAGATGCAGGGTTTTGGAGCACACGGTGGGCAGGTGTTTGACGGACTGCCTGCAGCGCTGCTCCCCCAGCCAGAACCTGCGCACGAGCACCAGAGAAAGGGTTAAAAACACAGCCATCGTACCCAGAGAACGACCAAGCTCGAGCCGTCGTGCCCAGGAGACACTGCTGCAGGCATCCCAGTCCTGTTCAAACCCGCTTATATACAGCGGCTGAACTACCACATTCATAACGTGCAGGCTCTGCCGGAGTGGGCCCTTCCAATCCTCAGGGATGCTATTCAGCCATTTTCTACATCGACGGAGAAACTCAGCATTTGTGCAGGAAGTCACCTTGCTCAAAAGGAGGGCTGCTGGCTGTGCACGTCTAGGCTTCACTATCCATTGCAAGAGTCAATAGAAATTTATGCTGGCAGAAATTAAAGCTTTCGGGGAATTCGGATGTTTCAGGCATTTATTTTTTATCACGAGGACCCCCGTTCCAAAACAGGGATTGGGTCCTCTTTATATTCACTGCAGATGCTGATGGTTCTGGCTTAAACCCCAATCTCCAACCCAAATCTTCTAACGTCTCCAGCAACTGTTTTTTTTTTTTAAAACGTCCTACACTAGCTCCATGGCTGAAGTTGATTCTGTTCCAATGCCTATCGCGCAGATAGCACAAGCTCCTCAAACTTCTTCATCATTTCCTTCTTTGTCATGAGCACTATAGCACAGACCTTACAGGTATTGAATGTTGTTTGGTCACACAACAGAATTTTAAATGAATGAAAATATTTTCATGCTGTTTTCTTACAGCCACTTACAGGAGTTTAATAAATATTAAATGGCAGATTAAATGGCATTCCAGGTCAAGACTTTTTTTTGTGCGTTATTGTATGTAGGACAGCTGGGGCCATATTTTTTTTTCTTCATCCATCTTTGAAAGGATTCCTGAACTATCATTTTCACCAAGTGCAAGCAGGACCTGAGGCAATCTTTGACACTTTACCATGTTTCACAGGAAAGTTAAAGCTATGTACTTCTTGCTATAGTAAGGAAATACTGTTAACAGAGGTACATTTATAATTAGGTAAATGTTTTATTAGATTTTTTTATAAATTTATAAATAAATTTAGTTATTAAGACTGCTAAATTGCTGTCTAAGCAGTGATTACTGGGGAGGAAGAAACACTAGGATTACACAGGAGTGATTTCCGTCAAGTTTCGGGGTTTGCCCTGTCGCAAACTTGGCTGGTGCTTTTATCCAATGCCACATACATTTCATCCCCATTTGCACAGCTGGGCGTAGTTACTGAAGTAGCACAGGTGAAGTACCTCACTCTAGAGTTTAACAGCAGTCTACTGAGCCTGAGGAGATCTTACTTGAGCTGCTGAAGCCAAGGGATGATACGCTTCATGTCGTCGTTGATGGACTTCTCCATTTCGTCCAGTGTTGACTGATCTGCAAGGAGCACAACAAAGCCACGGTAACAGCCGCTTTCACTGGCTGGATTTCGCTCAATTGAAAGGCCTCTGCCCGAAAATTCATGGGCTACAGCTGGCCTTCAGGAACTCGCATCTTTTTAATAGTATCCAAGAACACTACACTTTCTAAACTCCGTTTTTCATCCTTTAGCAGTCTCCAAAGGGCCCTGGTCTGCTAGGATGAAAATATTAAGGTTTGCAGAGACTGTCTATACTGAACCTATATAAACTGAGAACAGGACACGTCTTTACACAAAGGCTTGTGGGAGTATGGAACGAGGAGTCTAGCCATGTTACTGAAGCTGGTACCTTGGTTTCTCTCAAGGAACATCTGGATCAGTTCCTCTGATCAATTATGTACTAAGCATCAAAAGGCCTAAAGACGAATGGCCCCATCTCGTGAAATAACTCTTTATTCTTAAGTGGAACTGCACACAGCTTTGAAAAGCAATTCTTATTTCCCTTAGACAAAAAGTATTAACAATGAAGTGTGGTATAACCTAGGTTTAACTAGACTTCTGATTTAACTAACAAATCCTGCTAACAGGGAATCTAAAAAGTTAGAAATACTGGACTTTCCCCACAATAAATTGCTTACTATGGGGGTTTGTGTTTTGAATGCTTTAGTGAATTTTAACAATATATTTATGACATATGAAATAAAGAGCTTGTATATTAATGATAATGGTACAGGAAAAACTATCAGTGACTGTGTTGACTGCAATAAGGCAAACGATCCATAAAGTACATATATAAAAAGTATATATCTTCTCAGATAATAGTGTTTTGGGTTGAGAAACGTCATTCGTGACTTAACTAACATTTTGCAATAACAGATAACCTTTCCCCATTAGTCCATCTGAGGGTTTGCTCTAAAGAACCTCTTTTAGGAAAAATCACATTACTATCTGGCTGTATTTGCTATAACATTAGGACGTTTTACTTCAAAATAAAGCTAATGACCAAGGTTTGCCTCAGGAGAGCTAATGATTCCAAGGCAGTCCTTCATTCCGCTCCCTACCGGTTCCGTAAAGCATCGGCTGGAATGTTCCGGAATGCAAGTCAACGAATATGTGGAGACACTCGGAACGGCCGCAGGGCTCCAGAATTGGGATGACCAGCGTGGGAAGAGCAGTTTCTATGAAAGCTGAATGGACAAAGAAGGGAAGAGTTAACAGATCAATTATTACATGACACATTGCAACAGGTTTTCGGTCCTACCTATTCTTTCGTGTAAACCCTTAACACCTATACAGGATTGATCCATTGCAGCCAACAAAACAAGATTTTATAAATGACAGCAATATCTAACAATTATACAAACCATATCTGGGGTATGTGCAGATTTTCACAGTAATCTATATGAATTAGTGCACTGTATACACTATAAAACACATTTGAATCGGACATCTCCCTCTCACAGCATGCATTTTGGCCATCTTTTTAACCTTCATAATGCATAGAGGAGGACAATGAGCTAATATTTACTCCCAACATGCCTTCTTATGGTTACTTTCTCAAATGTACAGCCTCCATTCCAATGATTACATAGGAGATAACAGAAACAGACCAATCTCGGGATGGACTGGGAGTGACACTTACAATTATCGCTGGGGTTGTAGTTCTTAAGAATGGCTTTGAGTTCCTGCAATTTTTGATGAGAGCGGGCATGAACACTGTCTATCAGCAACTTTTCCACAGATAGATGATCAATCTGCGGGAGCAAGAAACAGAAGTCACACACAGCCCCGGGACTTTTAGACAACACCAAGCCTGAAGGGACAGGTCCTTTGTGGATATGGTCTCCAATGAAAGAAAAATACTTTACAAAGGGGGCTAAAATAGGAAGACATCAGATAATGATAACAGGATTAATGTTTCACTAAGAGTGGTGGGAGAGCATGGAAACTTGTCTTTTTATCTACAGGACCAGAGACCACATATCACAAACACAGACTGCTATCACACTGCCTGGAAAATTCCAAAGATGCTCATTCAAAAATCTTAACTATTTAGGAACTACTAAGACTTTAACAGTACGTGCGGCAGAGACCATTTCAGTAGTATTGTACCACCAATGCTTAGATTTAGAAGACAGGTTCTGGCAACCAGGGGCTCAGGGAAAAATAAAACCTGGGAACAAAACTTGCTTCTCCAGTCTGTGCCCAGCAGCCTCAAGGGAAGGGGGCTTCAGCGAGAGACGTGTCATTTACCTTCATGGCTCGCTCCATGAGTTTGGAGTCGCAGGCTGGAAGCAGAGGCTCGTGGGAGATCTGTAAGGGCTTGGAGCCGTCCGTCTCGTCAATCTTGATGTGCACCTTGTGGACTGATGCAGTACCCGTCTTCCTGCCCAGGACCTGCTGGCTGGAAGCAGGGAGACCAGCACGGGTGAACAGGGTCACTGTGGTCCGCAGCAATTAATCTTAAACACAGGCATGAGCCTCAAGTGTGAAACAAAAGCCACACATAAAGAGCTTGTAGCTTGGTTGTCCTTTACTAAAGGATCAGTTTGATTCCTTCTTCACAATTTCTTTTCTGAATATCAGATATTGTTTAAGTCAGTACCAGATACTGGATATTTCAAACATATTATTTTTAGCAAACAGTGATAGCGAAAATAACATAATAATCAAAATAAAGAAGGCTCTAAGGCCGAAACGTTGTTTTCTTTCTTCTCTTTTCAGCATGGAATAAACCTTTTACTTGTTCCTTTGCAGCCTACGCATGCTGACGCAGCTACCCACCGGAAAATCATTTACTGTATGTGGCTTATTTTCCTGCTTCAATGGTACAATCTGGATGGGAGCCTGCTGTTCATACAAACCGAACTACAATGAATGTCTCATTTCCATTCCTGACATTACTCTTTCAGGTCCCAATAAGCCTGCAAGGCTGAAAGTCTTTAATCCTTTGGAGTATCCAAGATGCACAGTGCCAGCCCCTGGTATTAACACATTTAAAAACGCTTGCTATGAACCTTTTTTCCTGCAGATCAAGAGGAATATGAAAAGGGCTGAGAGCACAAGGAGTTAAGGCCTTACTTCCACACGGCAAGGGTGAGGCACTTTGCGGGGATGTAGCGCTCAACTTGGACGAGGTCGCCCCAGCGCTCACGGATCAGCATCAGGGTCTGGGAGTGCAGCACCTCCAGCTGCAGCGACAGGCAAAAGGAATCTGAGGTTGCTCAGTCAAGGAGTCTCTCGGCAGACGCTGCCCTGTGTGCACTGGCTACTCTTATTTGAGCTGGCCTAACCACTCCAGGCAGAAAACTGGTAACATTTATTAGCCTTTATCATTTAGCCTTTAATAAGAGCTGAGCTTGCACAGCCCCTGAATTAGAACACACGCATCTCAGCAGGCGTCACCCTGCCATTTCATGGGACAAGCAAATCCCTACGGCAAAGTCCTGTTTCCCCCAGAAAAAAAATAAAACAAAGGTTGAAAATGAGATAAAGGGGACATTGAGTTTGTTTTGGCTCTTTTTATTGAGTTTCACATATCTCCATGTCAAGATGGCATGGGACCCAGTATAAATGAGGAGAGGTGTGGATTGTGTAAGGGGGTAGGATTAAAGAACACCATCTTTTGATTATTGATTAGAATGGTGAAATGGATAAATGGTCCGTTCTTTAAGCCACCAAATCACATCTTTAATTTTTAACACACAAAAACAGACCATACCGTAATACTGAGCAACGCTAAGAATCATGTGACAATGACAAGCACTGCCACAGAACTATGAAACGAGACAGATCAGATCAGCCAGCTGAAGAGTTTAGTTTGAAGTATTCTCTGCCTTGATGGGGGTTCACCCACTGTTTCGCTTTCCTGTGTTATGCTAATAATCTGATAAGGTTTCTGAGCACCAAGCTGCAGGTAGTTTAAGCATTCACAGCGAGACAGCAGGTGCCTCAAGTACGACACTTTAAACAAAAAGCAACACTGTGACATGATGCTCATGATCATGCAATGTGCTTTCCCCACATTTTCAGTATTCATTTGCCAGCAAAGAAAAAGAAATCAAGATTACAGTTTCGCTTGCAAGATGACGCTCAATTCATCATGTTCACATCGGGACTACTTCCCTAAAATGGTGCAATAAAAAAATAAATAAATCACAGACCACCACCACTGCTAGTTTAGAAAATGCTGAGAGAAGCTGGCAAATGCAAGCTGATTACAGATCAGGCCTGAGGGGGGAAAAAAAAAACTCATAACTGGTCATAAAACATTGAAACCTTTAAAACTGCAGTCGCATCACCAAACTAAGACCGCTTCACGATAATGACACAGAATCAAAGTTCACAAAGACTAAACCATCACATAATGTTTGACTGCTTTTGCAAATTACCGTGTGCTACAGTGCAATTCTGATTGATTTTTGAGATCTGGAAACATTTCCAGAAAATATCAATTAAGCACAGATATTGCCAGGAGACATTAACAGTGTGTTCAGCATCAGTGTGACACGGGTAATCAGTGCAGGCCAGAGCAGAAACACCATTAAGGGCTGGTTTCACACAACCTGAGTAGCTCTAATCCAAACTCTTATTTTGCTACACTGGTATTGGACCTGGACTTATTATGGTCTGTGCAGTCACAAGAGTACTACCAACGTCAGCCATTCTTCAAACAGTGATGTTGTTCAGCAAGCGGGGGACAAAAAGCATTTCTAGGTTTCTAAAATTGGAAAAAACGGAAAGGCAGAAGCCTAAAATCAGGCAGTGCAACAAGATCGCAACAATATCGCAACCAGATCGTATTGATTGAATTGCTGGGAAGGGTGGATGCTGTGTAGTCCCCTTGCGTACAGACATTTCAACCGCTGCTGAAAGCCAATAACATTCACGTTCTGAACCTGAAAAGGTTAAAACCCAGCTCGCCGCAGTTCAAATGCGCCTTGGTCAGGAGTCAAAAAGGATACGCAAACAGTTGTACATGTCCTGCAGCGGCTTCTCGTCAGCGAACAGCCGGGACTGCACCAGCTCGTGGATGAAGCTGACCTGCATGCTGTGGACCAGAGCGCGGCCATCTTGGAGAGAGAGAGAGAGAGAGAAGGGGGGGGTTACCTGGTTTTAAAGGGCTACCTTTAAAATAATAATCCCACAAGACAGATACTTTTCATTAAAGGCAGGTGTAGCGCTTTAAAACCCCGATTGCACTGTTCTTGGAAAGTTCTCATCAATATCCAAGTCATGGAAGAAATTCCACACAGATTTCATTTAGGAAAGGTGTAGGCTACAGAATATTATGCACCATTTTATAAAAAAAGAATTACCACTGTGAATAAAAATGTAATGCATCGAAATGCTTTAAGATGGGTTTTTTTAATTTCTAAGACCAATGAAAACCAAAACCTTTTAAGCTGCAAACCGTTTGCAGGAACACATCCTCTTTCCCCAAATGTGTACTAAAAAGGTCCATAAGAACATCCCACTTCCTCATCATAATAGAAGACATCACCACCTTTCCCAAGTTACGCAAGATCACCAAGTGGGCTGGAGGTGCTGAACTGTCTCCTTTCATTTGCAGCTGTTCTTATGTCGGGAAATTCTTGCGTGAACTTTGGTTAGAACCTTTCATTTGCATGTTTCGCGTTCGACCACATTCCTGATCATACTTGACTGCTGTGTTCCTGGGGAAACTTGGTATTTATGTCAATGGCATAAGAGAAGATCACTTTATTGGCCATATACAATTTCTTGCATTAGGAATTTGTCTTTTCACATACCCCAAATTGCTCTCCACGAGACACAGACAGGGAGAGAAGTTTGGGGTCAGAGCGCAAGGGTCAGCCATTTATACTGCACCCCTGGAGCAGCTGGGGTTAAAGGTCTTGCTCTGGGGCCCAACAGAGTAGGATTCCTCTGCAGGTCGCGGGATAAGAATCCGCAACCTTCCAGCCAAAGGCGCAGATCCTTAGCCACAGAGCCAAGGATCCATGTTAACATATTTTATATTTATATTTTAACAGCAGGTGTGGCTTCATGTGCTGCCAAGAGGTACGAAATGCGTTTTTGCGTGCCATGCTAAAAGCCTATAGCCTGGTCTGACCTGAACTCAGCTGTTGCCTTTCAATGAGATGTTATACTGAGATGTCATACTATTAACTCTAAGAGAGGTAATGTTAACCCTGGTGTCCGGGCTAAAATCCACAATGTGTTTGTAGAATCCCCAGATGGGATGCCATCTTATCTGGGGGGAGAATTTACTCACAACATTTAACCCAGAGAGACTGCCTTTAGACTGCAGGAAGTAACAGTAGCAAATGTAGAAAACCCATTTGGACATGGGAACAATGTGCAAGCTTTTCCTTTGCCTTCTGTAAAAAACACAGTAAATGAGATAATTCTTAACCTAAACAAATCTTCTTCACTCTTTCATTTTTCCCTTCACTCTTTCTATGCATGTGGGTGCTCGCCACCAAATCCAGTATTTTCAGAGACAGTTTAGTGGTAGGACGTTTCACATTAAAAAAAAAAGTGAAAAGGCACATCACAAAAAAACTGTAAAATGCAAAGAGAAGATAGGAATTCAGCACGTAAGCATAAGACCAGGACTAGAGAATACTAATATAGGTTTTCTTTTACTCAAAATTTCTTTAAAATCCCCCAAAATATTCCTATTTCATTTTGTCTCACAACAGACACTTCTCTTTTTTGCTGTGCATGGATCAAGAGTTGTTTTATAAATGTACCTAAAAAAAACCTTTGTAATTCCTCATATGGAATTGACATGTTTACAGTTTACACTACACACTCTAAAGAGCAAGATGATCAAAGAAAGTTTGGAAAATATCTGCTGCACTGCACTTCCCTTTTCACAACAATTATCATTCCACAGCTGCTCTGGCGCAGCTTTGATGCTGAAGGGACCAAGCTGAAATCCAGACAAACAGTCCTGGATAACGGCTGCCAGAGACTAAAAACAAAGTCTGAATATCCTTAAATCCCATGATCCCTTAGTGTTCAGAAGTGTATCAACCAACCACGTGAAAATGCAATAGCTCTACTTCAGAAGGTCATTTACCATTTTTAACTACTTTAGTTCTATATTTTTTGAGAAAACATTTCAGGTTTTTCTTTAAGACCTACGGTGCGGTGGCACTGTGGCTAAGGATCTGCACCTGTGGCTGGAAGGTTGCTGCTTTGTATCCCGCGGGCGGCAGAGGAATCCTACTCTGTTGGGCCCCTGAGCAAGACCCTTAAACCCAACTGCTCCAGGGGCGCTGTTCAATGGCTGACCCTGTGCTCTGAATCCAAGCTTCTCTCCCTATCTGTGTGTCTCATGGAGAGCAAGTTTGGGTATGAGAAAAGAAATTCCTAATACAAGAAATTGTATACGGCCAATTAAGTGATCTCATCCTAAAAGGTATATGACACCTGAGGAAGTGTCTGAATTTTATGAAAGTACAATATGATGCATACACATTTTAAAAATTATTTTATTCAGTTTAGTCTGAAGTCTGAATGCTCTATCTTTCATCTCCAGAAAGTAAGATAAGTTACTGTTAACATAAAAAAACTGAAGAGAAAAAGACCACAATATGTTGATTATGTAACCATTCAAACCTGTGAAATCAATATTTGGCGGAAGCAAATTAGTATTTTTGGGTACATCAGCCTGGTGCAATTTTTCCCCCATTCTTCCTGGTAGATTTGCTCACATTCTCTTAAATTTCTTGGGGATGCCTTTTTAATAGCAATTTTCAACTCTCCACAGTTTATTAATAGGATTAGAGTCAGGACTGAATTGGCCACTCAAGGACAGGTACTTTCCTGTTTTTGTTTTTAAACACGCATGCCCAATGAAAAAATGTTCCAAGTGTCTCTCAGCACTTCCAAAACCATTGCAAAAAAAAAACGTAACCAACCTCTTGCATGGAAGTCAACCGCGGGCACTGCAGGTCATTTAAGGACAATGTTTGGGAACACTCCACTCTGTGCTTGGTGTTTTCCTGTCTTGCTCCTACTTGATGTCACTTGTTTTGCTGTTTTATGTTATATATTTTCTATGCTACTCTAGGGGTCCCATGTGCAGGTTTGTCTATCTGTTCCTCCTCCCCATTTCATGGGACACTCCTCTCAATTAGCGTATCATGCACACGATCTGCTCTTCGTAGGACAAGGGCTCTAGCGGATGCTTTAAGAACTGAACCACAGGCTTAAACAGTATTCTGATGACATCAGTGGTACCGGCAGAATATTGCCTTTCAAATTATCACAACAGAAGCGGAGTATCAACAAACGCCAAGATCCCCGCTCCTGGGCCTCTGGCTGCAAGCGGTTCGGCTCACCTCCCGTCTCCTTGTCTTCCACTAGGATCTCCAGCTTGAGCAACCGCCAGGGTATGTCTGGATCGTCTCCCATGACCGTCAGCGTGGCCTCGAACTCCCCTTCCACCCGGAACTTGACACGCCCGTTGGCTGCACAGCACAGACGTCGAGAGGAATGCAAATTCACTGATACAAGGACCAGTGTCACAGAGTACCCAGTGCTAACATACTTAGAAATCTTACCATATGGATAGGATCTCCTATTCTAACAAGCGTCCTAACATTTAAAATAAACTGGTCAAAATCTGCCATCTTAAGGCAAAAAAATATGAGCTGTCATTACTTGGTGGTCACTAAGCATACGAAAGAATGGACTTTTTATTCTTCGCATCTCAGGACAGACGGAAATAAAAAGAAAGAGAGAGATAAAGGTAATGGACTACAAGGTTGTTTCTTTTTCTCTAGCCTAGATCACATAAAGAGCAGTCAACAAATACAAGTTTCATTCCCAGGGAACAAAGCAAAAGCAGTGGTGATCCTTCAGAAACACAGCAGGCCTTCCTGAGACAAAGGAAGGTGTTAAAAAACCTGACCTAGTCAAAGCTATTGCCCGTTCACCACCAATTCAATGTCCAAAGTGAGAGGGTCGACAGCAGTCTCAAGGTGAGGCTGGGCTTACCCACAGTGAGGTTGGCCAGCTGGGGTGGCAGATCTGTGGTGACCAGCCTGTGCCGCAGAATCTGGTTGAGCTGACTGAGGGTGGCCTGCTTCTCTGCCTTGGTGATGGGGTCAGGGGGGATAATCTTATCCTGCAAGCAGACATCAGACTCAAGGATACACCAAGGATACACTGAAGGGCTTGGCAGCTTTAGAAGCAAAGTAAAAAAACACTTATAGACACATGAATACCAATGAATACCTATGGCCTATGAATACCAATGTCACTTTTCAAAACGTGGGTGGAAATTCTCAACCTTTAAAGCTTTAAAAAAAAAAAGTGTCCGATGCCAGAATTCAGAGGTGCACCAGAAGTCCAAGTAGCCTCTAAATGTCATCTCTGCTCTAAAGATAACTATGAGAGCTCTGCTAGACTGTTTTTAGACTCAGGAAAGTGACAACTCAAAATTAGGTCTGTAGAGAGGAGCATTTTCATATTTACAAACAAGGCTGTTAGCTTTCAGAGCTCATCACTACCTCAGTTACTCACCTTTAAATCTCCTGTGTCAGCAAATACTACTAGCAGCAATACTGAGTTCATATGGCCGTTTTCACCACACACAGGGTAAAAGTGGTGTTGAGCAAATTGCACTAACAAACTTTTTTCTCTCCATCATTTGATTGCAATTTAAATTGCTTGCTGCCTAAATGCATGCTGAATGAGCTATTCCTCTTTGTAGCTATTTATGTTTCGATATCAGGCGTGATTGCATACAGTATATGGTTAATGAATCAGGTTGTGTAGCAATCATGTCCGCCTTACAGTGAAAAAGAAAAGTTTAGCAACAAAAAGTAGAAAAACCGCATCAGATATGCACAACTATTAAGATTCTTTAAAGGTTTAACATTCCTACTTAACGCTTCAAAGGCAGGAAAAGAAACGATGCACAAACATCAAAAGCTGGCCGTCCTAATTTTTGCAAAATTAGGGTATTAAAAAGAATAATGTCATATGGTATTTAGCTATAAAAAAAAGCAAATATGATGCAAGCCTATTTATATTTTGCAGGAAGGGGAGTGAGTGGTTGCAGACTTAAGACTGGAATTGACCGAGTTGTTGCCTTTTCAAAAAAAACTCGGTCAAACTCTTGATGCTTACTCTCGTTTCTGGGACCGCTGGCAGCAGAGTTAATTATAATTAACAGAACAGCTGCCCGAATCCCCGGACCGTCACATATTATCAATTACTTTTTTTTTTATTTGATGAACCGAGAGAACAGAAGAGAAATGAAACTGTGCCTAAATGATGTGCATCAAATGAATCTGTAGTGAAGTTCAGTGATGCAGATGGATTTCTAATTTATAAGCGCTCTCTCCATGGAGCTGGGAGACCGCGGCGCAGTGACAGAGCTGATATCGGGAAGATGTGATGAAAGGAAAAGATGGCTGTCAGATCTTGCAGAAATGCAGTCTCTGTAATTAAGGTAAATTATGCTGGGTTTTTCTTGGCAGAGCTCCCCAAGTGACTCAGTCTGTGTAAAAGACCTGCCTGTGAAGCTGCTCAGTACAGAAATAAAAGTTGAAGACCACACGTCCAACAATCCAAACAGCTTCTTGTGCTTTGAATCTCTTAAACGCTTTCATCGGAGCATTAACACTTCGTTCACGACTCCCAGCAGACTCACAGAGATGGCAACAGCAGTGCTTTTTTAAAAAACGGCAGGATTTTTACTTACTGCTTTCTGTAGACCAGATTGTCATGGACAACTGGATTAATATTTGTTAAAAAAAAAAAAGCTAAGCACAAAGCATCTTCTCCTGTTTGAAAGTGAAAGCCCCATGTAGAAAATTATGTTCAGACGTCGAGCAGTCGGTAATGTACAGCCTGAGTTAACTCTTTGATAACCCAAAACTGAGTGTCTTACTACTCCTTGGCAGCACCAATATTAAAACAACTTCTCCAATAGAAGAATGTATAAAAATGCCAAAGAAATGTCCAGAAGACCCGTCCTTGGGCCACTCTGAAAAAGCACTTTGTGTAGTTCCTTTGCGACAAATCTACAATGCCACAAACACAAAAAGCACATGCCTCTGGAGACACATTACAACGTCACTGCCATCCTGTATGTTTTAGTAATTAGAAAGTGTGACTCTACTGTGAGCGAACAGGAAGGCCTGCCTGCAGAGCTCGGTGGCTGGGCTGCGTTGGGGCTGCTTACCCTGATGCAGGTGGGCAGGCGGGGGTAGGACCCTGTGGTGAGCACGTCGATGGCGAAGGGGATGGCGAAGCTGGGCAGGCGGGCGTGCACGAGGGCATCCCTCGCCAACGATGCCAAACGATCTGCCGTGTCCACAAACAGGAAGGCCTGCTGGTCTAGGAAACTGGAGATCATCTGTTCCAGGAGAGACAAGTCTCACTGTTAGCCACATCGTAATGGCGTCTCTTTACTACAGTGACACTAGCTAGCGGGCCACTGTGGCTGAAGATCTGGAACAGGGGTTCCCCGAGAGCAGTGAAATCAATCACTGAGCACATACAACAGTGGTACTGCTGGTGTAGATCTCAGGGGGTCCCCTCCATCACACATACACAGTAGACTCAAGTTTTACGCTAAAGATTTTTACACATTTGTGTATTTGCGCTCAGCAACAAAAAAATACAAACAGTAAATGAAAATTCAAAATTGCTGGAAATTTCACAAATTCAAATCTGGCGTAGCACCCACCTGAGCTATACATTGGGATCCAGTTACAGAGCCTATAGCACACCTGTGCTTTCTTTATCATGCATGAATCTCAATATTGCTTGCAAACCAAAAAATAAAATAAGTATGAAGGGGAAAAGGCAAGTCAAGAAAAGTTAAGCCGTATTAATGGTTTTGCAATACTTGAAACCACGTATACATACTAACACACTATTACGCGGGCGCTGTGGTGGCGGCTCTGTGGCTAAGGATCTGCGCCTGTGGCTGGAAGATTGCTTGTTCGTATCCCGCGGCCGGCAGAGGAATCCTACTCTATTGGGCCCCTGAGCAAGGCCCTTAACCCCAGCTGCTCCAGGGGCGCTGTACAATGGCCGGCCCTGCGCTCTGACCCCAAGCTTTTCTCCCTGTCTGTGTGCCTCAAGTTGTGAGCAAGTTGGAGTATGCGAAAAGACAAATTCCTAATATGAGAAACTGTATATGGCCATTCTTACAATTGATTTTACTTATTGAAGGGAAGGGGGCGTACTGATTATACGTGATTACCGATATACGCACTATGTCAGGAACCTAACTACCATGAGTCCGCTGTACTCACGCTCTCTACCTGAACTGAAGGGTGACCGGTAAAGAAACTTCAAGTGCAAAGGAAACATACCGCGCACTTCTCCACTTTCCCAGCGTTGCTGGCCCACTTCACCAGAGCCAGCAGGCGGACGAAGAGCTGCCGGGTCCGGCTGGCAAACTGCACAATCTCGATTTTCCTGGCGGATCCAGAGAAACGACACCACATCACGAGCGGCACTTTGCTTGGACTCTGTCACGTCGTGACACGAGCAAAATGCTGGAAAAATGAATTTACGCTGCCCGGGAAATAATGACAGCCTCCTTTTCTGACACCTTTGACAACTGAATGAGATTCCCAAACTCTGATTATTGAGAAGGGAAAGCAGAGCAGCCGAGAGCATTTAAACTCTTAAAACTCTGGAACACTTCCTTAACAGGCTTCTCAGAAAGAAACTGACATTTAAACTCTTGCAAATTTATCTTATATAGATTGAAGGGCACAGTCTAGAAAATGTGCACAAAGAAACAACAACAGACAACCAAAACTTTATTTCTCAAAACCTCAAAAATCAGACTCCAACTTGTAGATGAAATCAGGCCACAGTTCAGAATTACTGTATCAGCATCCGAAGGGGACTGAGTCAGGGCCACAGGCTCACTACTCGCAATACTTCACTTTGGGTGGAACCTGAAAAAAGCCTCGGAGTACTCGATTCAGTACACATTAATCAAACACTTCCGGGATTGTTTTCCGCTACTCCTAATCCTTTAATTTGAACGTAACGCCAACAGAAACTTACCGTTCCATGTCTGTCTTCCTGGGAAGGCTGAAATTATAAAAACAAAAAGAACATTAAGAGTACAGAACCAAGAATTGCCCAGAGCTGTTTGGACTGCAACAGCACCTTTCAAAGCCAGTGCAATAGGCAAGGACACTCCGACTAAGAGTGCAGCTGCACCAGCCAGACAGTCCTGCCTGAAGACCTCCATATGTTCAAGGAAGCTGTTTTCCTGCCATCTTTCAAGAAACAGCTAGGATGAGCAAAACCATGGGATCAATTAACTACTGTGTACCAAATAGGCTGGATGGGCTCCCCCCATTTGTAGCCTAGCCTAAGTACTTACATTATACCTGGCTTAGAAAACCTTATGTTGTGGTGTAGCTCTGAATGATTTAGAAATGGGATGACAGAGAGAACAGCAGCATTCTTAAATACTGTGCAGTCACTCAAAGAGAGGTAGAGATAAACTTAGAAAAAGACCAAACTAGAAATACGGTTAGACAACAGACACTTCACTAGCTATACAACTGGATAAGTAGAGCCTTTAAAAAAGGCTCAGAGACACTTTTTCGAAACTGGACCAAATGCACATAGGCTAACGTAAGGAAACTAAAGACAAAACCATGCAATAGATTAAAGTGTGGTGTAATAGGGAAGACAACGGCTTCTCATAAAATTTTAAGAAAAAACATGCTCCTTTTGCAGGTCTTGACTGCAATGCAAAAACCTCCCCTTACAAGCCTCTATCCTAACACACCCCTGGACGACCCTCGAGTAAGAGCCGTCAGGCTGTCTGCTGATCCAAGGCACGGCAATAAACACCCCCAGGGGTGTGGCAGGACACTGATTAGCGAGCATCATCAAAGCAGCAAGGTCCATCACCAGCTCCCACTGTCGCGAAAAGGGCACGATCAGCGGCCCTGCAGAGCGGACCTGACAGGGGCTGATCACAGCACACCCAGGGCTCTCCCCTCCCCACATGGGGCGCTACAGACCACGAGGAGATGTCCTAATGCAGCAGGACAGGCAAGCCAAAATAGCACACACCGCACAGCTGGGGGTTCAAAACCTGTCAGCAGTTCGGAACCTCCAGCTGAGAACACAGGAGGCCATCTGAAGTAAAGGCCTAGATTTGGCCACCAAATCTACCGTGGAAACGCTCAGACTAACCAGTACCAACTGTGTGGGACAAAGACGCCAAGAGAAACCTGCAGAATTACAAAGAAATCCAAAAGGCCAAATACACAAAGGGAGTGAGAAGGAAAACCCCAAGAGGAAGAAACAGGAACATATGTCATTACTAAAAGTGGCAGAAACGATTTCAATTTCTTGGGTTTTATTTTAAATAAAAGGTTTTAATTCTAGCCGTATGTGTATACAGTGTCATGGTGTGAATGCCAGGACATAACAGGAATCATTATCAATACTACGAGTATAAAAATCAGTTAAAACAAGCCCTGTTCAAATACGTAGGAAACACAAAAAGCAACACAAGATACCACGACAGTAAGCCTCTTATGGGGATCGTAACAAGGGTTAAATGAACAGCTTTAAAGAAATCCTGTGCAAACATCATTAAGGGAATTAATATTAAAACTGTCAAATGGAGTTCCCTCGGCCTCTATTGAGACTCCAGGGGTGCGCTTATTATACAATTTAAAAGAGGCTGTGTCCACACCGTCACTAAAATGTATTTATTCCACAACAGGACTCAGAAAACTACAGCATGTTCAAAGAGAAACAGGCAATTCTGGAACTTCAACCCATGCTTCTTCATAAGAACATCACAAAATCCAGTCTCACATTAAATTGTGGTCTATACATTGAATGGCAAAGTGATAGCATCTGGGCAAGTTGCATTACATCATTCTCACACAGGACCACCTGAACTGGAGAAGAAATGCCTCACCTACACTTCAGGCACACAAGTAAAGCTGAGCGCTAACAATGTGCCCTACACAGGTCTTGAGCAGAGAGGTCATGACCCTACAGCTGCAGAACAAACAGATACAGCAACACACGGGCCAAAAACCCAGAGGAAAATCAAAACACTCAAATGTTAGCTTATGAGAAGCCCATGTGCTTACTTACTGAATTTATATTAGCAGAGCTCAGATGCTTTTACAGATCTTAAACTGTTGCCAATTGACACACACGCAGTACCTGCAGGACTCCAGCGTAGAGGGCTACACTTTTTCTGTGCCTGCCTAAATACTTTTGTGTATAAGGCTCTGCCTTAAATGTATGTGTTTAACTGTGAGCTGTTCTGCACAAAGTATTAACACTTAACAGTGTAAAATATATTTTCAGTGAAAATATAAAGTCTGAAATCCAAATGCAAAGCTTTATCTATACAACTTACTGGCAACCCGTCTAATGCTATCCCATTTAAATGGCTTCAAGAGCCCAACACGTCGCTTAAAGACATAAATGAGGGGAAATTCAAAGCCATCAGGTATACAGCACGAACAGAAAGACTGAAATATTTCCCCCAGTATATAACCCTAAAAGAAACTAACCAACTTTAGCACTTTCTTCATTTGTTTTTTCTAGCAAATAAACCCAGACAGAGAAAGAGATAAGCATCCCTCCCTGCACTGAGTATATAGATATTATTTCACCGGAGAAGTGAAGACGAAAGAGAGGTGAAAAGCTTTCAGCCTAGTTTTCAATTACATACTGAAAACAATAAAAGCAATAAATCAGCTCGAACTCTCTCCTGTCTTAATACATCACCGAAGCTGCACTTTGACTTCATGCAGCAATTCCTGCTTATCAGCGAGTGGAATTACAAATGAATGAGACAACATCAGGGCGTGTGCAATCTACAACTGAATTCATGAACTAGCCGTTGCAGGGCTCGGCGGTGTCAATACTTACAGCTCGGCCAGCAGGGTGATTTCATGGTAAGTCCTCTGGAGGAGAAACTCAATCAGCACACTCAGTCGGACCCCGTGTGTGGCCGGAGTCCCAGAGGGAGCCCCTGGAGGAGGAGGTTGGAGAGCCGATGTGGGACCCCCGGCAGGCACCAATTGGCCATCTGAACCAATCTGTACGGGGGCCATTTTCACAAATCAAACAAAAAAGGAAAATAAAGCGCTGGACGTTAACAACTAGTTCAGCAACCAAGAGTCAAAAAGAAACCATTAGCGGTCTCTGGGTTCTTATGTCCCTAAGAAAACGAAAAGACCCCCTGGAAGCCCTCGGAGTATCCCTTGGGTGTATAACGGTCGTCTTGACGGGGTCGATACGCCGTCGCCCCATGGAAGTGCAGGCAAAACCCCAAAGATCACTGTTATTAAAAAAGCAAGAGCTCAGTGCTTCCAGCCGCCATCATTCCTTTCTACAGGAAATTGACGCGATAACACTGGGACAGAAGCCCCGGATGCGGAAGCGACGCACAGGGCCTGCGAGCTGCAACCAATCCGGTCTCAAACACGAAAGACACGGAAAATAAAGTCTCGCGTGACAAATGTGCTTTGGTGGTGTAGTGTGTGGTATTGCTACCCAATTCATATATTTAAAATACTTCTATTTAATTGTTTTGGAACACTTCACCACAGTTTTGTAGCGAAGACGATGGATAAAAAGACTTACACGTTGTCTCTATTTTATCAAAAGTACTTTTATTTTTATTTAAAATTGTAATGATCAGCCTGAAGGAGTTTGAATGCTGGCAGAGCCTGCAAAGAAGATATGCAAAGTAAAATGTAGCCACTGAACTAGTATTTAGCCCTCCTAAGGAAGTACTATTGACATTTTATCTGGTTAGGACTTTTTCAGCTTACCACAGTGGGGTGGTGTCATTTGGTCCACTCAGCCTATCCAAGGCACTGTGAATAAAATTAGTACAGTGTTGTATTTTCAAGTGTGGGATGGAGTTACCGCAGTACAAACAGGATGCTAAAGGATTTCATATTTCATATGTCAGTAGGCCTTGTTCAATCTGAGCTATTAAATGTCAGGCAGCGTTTGTCTTTATATCTGAGATGTTCATATTAGTTTAATATTATTGCTGTTACTCCATATTAGACTTGCTGCAACATCCTGATTATTAGCTACTTTTGGAACACTAAAAATACACGGGACAACAGTGACAAGATTTGCAACACATATTTTCACTATGGAAAGTTATGAATTTATGAAAGTTACTAGTTATGAATAATTCATAATAATTGTTACCTATTGTTATCCATTTTTGTTCTTGAGCAAAAGCTATATTTGGGAATAACAACAATAATGTTATTTATTAGTTGAAGACCTTATAGTTATAAATCCCAAAATATATGTTGACATTCAACCATTGTAATGATAATTTCTGGCACAGTGGTGCTACAGCTCTTAGATCCCAGTTTCAACCCAGGACTGTGACACCTTCTGTTGTTGTTCTCATGCTTGCTTGGGTTGATACCAGGCGCTTCAGTTTTCGCCCTGTGTTTCCCAAAGACATGCTGTCCAGATTAATTAGCGTCTTCAAATTGTCCCAGTGGGTGTGTCCTGTGATGGAGTAGTGTCCCTAAGAGGGTGTAGTCTTTCTATGTCCAGGTTATATTCCACGTTACTGTGACCCTTACCAGCAGAAAGAGGCTTTTGAGAATGGACATACATTTTTAATTGAGATTACACACATGGGAACTAATAATGACAGAATGTTTAGGAAGGTGGAGTTGTCAAAGTGAAATCAAGAATCAGAACAAGCACTTTGCAGGATGCAGTACAAACAGAGTTTTCTTGGGAGAATGTTTGAGTATATATAAAAAAGAACATATTTAAATAAACAAACCCAAAATAAATATTTAAATAAATAAACCAATAAATAAGTTAACCCTGTTAGTTTAAGATTACGTTACCGTTATGTATAACATAGATGCAGTTTCTGTACATTTGATATACTGTATAGTAAATAGTTTTAAATGGAAATTTGGCTAAACTGATTTGATCTAAAAAATCAGATGCCAGTATTGTATGCCAAAAGATTTCCAACAGAAAAACGTCTGCTGTTTTTGTATTAGAACTCAAAAAATGATAAGGATTTTTATCCCAAGTTATTTTTTCTGTCATTATTTGAAATGCCCCTTGTGGAAAGTACAGTAGTTTTCACTGGGCCATGAATCATGCATTACATTTTATTCCAGTTTTAAAATCATCAAACAGAATATACTCTTTTCAGGAGAGTCTTCAAGAAGTATCCATAGGGATACTTCAGAACACAGGTCCTCAGCCCTAGGACAAGTTACATAAAAAACTGCAAGCATTAAATATGGATCTATTTTGCCTTAACTAGGGCATTGACTTCAATGTGTTTGACTGCTTTGTACATCACAAAGTAACTTGAAGACATTAAGGGGATTTTTTTTTTATTTAGGCTTCTTTATACAATTGATCACAGATCTTTTAGAGCAGCATGCCTGCAGGAATTTTCAAATTTCTATCGTTAAGACCTGAAAAAGTGAGCCAAATTAGTCATGAGCCTATTTGGACAAATGCATCTCTTCAAAGCAGATTTCACATTGTCGGTGAGTTAAAGAAACGTAAACACTGGTTAAATTCTAACTCTCAGGAAGCAGGAGTGTGGACCAATTTAAAGTAATCTCCAATAGATCTGGTTTCTTAAAACAGCAAATTACTATTTCTATCCTCATTCATTTACCTTTTTCTTTCGCTTCCAACACTAGCACAAGATTTTTTTTCACAAGGTGTATGTAACAAGAAGATCGATTGGACAGCACAAAGACGGGGCTGTTGGGCGAGTTTGTTGCGCGTCCTGCAATGATTTGTAGGTGGAAGCATCTCCTGAACTGACGTTTAAATGGACTGTCTGTACTTGCATAACATTAGAAAACCCGTGAGGCTGCCATTTTTGGCATAAGCGCACAGGCAAAAATACATTAGTCAATGCAGGAGCATTCTCTTGTCTTGAGCTTATTATTCAGTCAGACTAATCAAATAAAGTGCCTATCCATATTGGAGTGAAATGTTGCTCCCACAACAGATTTTTAACCTATTAATTCATGCCAATTGAAAAAATAATATCAATGCTAATAGGTTACATTTAGTTTATTGTTTATTGTCTTTTCTTCTTCTGAAATACTTACTGTTGAATATAGACAGACTTTCTATAGACAGAGAATACAAGAATGAGTAATGCTTAGTTTTCATATTCCTAATGCACAGTTATTGTTTTTTATTTTTATTACTAGAATCAGGAAGAAGAATAGTAGTATCCTCCTTCGACTTATACCTCTTTAATTGTTTTGAAACACTTCACGACAGTTCTGTAGCGGAGACGATGGATAACTGTGAACTGCACTTGTAATGGTGCTGCACTCCAGAAATGCCAGTTTAGTCCAATATAGAAATAGAACATCTCAATCTATTGAAGTAGACTTTAATGAACCCAATTGAAATTGTCTCAAAAGTTTTTTTTTATTATTTTTTTCTAAGGAATAATGCACAGTTGTATGTGTGACTTTTATCATTTTAATGAATTATATGCTAAATAATACATTTAAATGTATTCCCTCCAGCACATGAAATTCCCTCTTTTTACTGTTAGAATTCTGTACAAATTAATTTAATGAGAGTTTGCATTGTTTGATTAATAGTCTGTTTGCTTTGGTTCACTTGTTGACAGATGCCAATGAGTACCCTGAGATTATAAAGATTCCAAAATCTCAGTCTTCAGGTCAAGACAAACATCCAGGTTTAACTTGCTGTGAAGCACCTTGAACCTAATGGGATGAAAGGTACAGTATATCCTCCTTAGACTAATACCTCTTCTTCAGGAACATCCTGGCCCAGGATATGATCTGAGAGAAGGAGTTGAGTTCCAGGAGCTCTGAAAGCTAAATGGCTTCAACAGAAATGAAGAGCAACACTCCAAGACATAACAGTTTGCAGAAACAAGGGCATATTCATACCACAAGCCTGTCCGTAAAGCCAAGAAGACCCACAGATGTCCCATAAAAAGAAGTCTGGTCATGTCAGAACTGAGCCAAAATTCCCAATGCTTGGTTTTGTAATTAGTACTGCTCAATGCGCTTCAGTTTGGCAGGGCTGGTGAGATAGTTAACATGGTGATTCCTATAACAGAAAACATACTGACCTCCCTGAATTCCCAGAGGCCCGTAAATGGAAGTATAAATGTAATTACATCTTTCCAGCTCTTTTACATAAAGAAAGCCTCTTTCTGTCTTCTGTGCTTCTTTTCCATTATTTCCATCAGCAGCCTTTCCATTTATGAGAGACACAACACCGAGCACACAACAGTGCAGAAGGCTGGTGACCTGGCCATTCTCGCAATGCGTAGCCTAACGCAGATGCAGACCGAGAGACAGCCGTGGAGGTCTGATTCATGCACAACTAACAAAGTGGTGTCATGGTTGTGAGTTCCTAAGTCTATTACGGCAGAGGTCTGCAGTAAAACTGAATGCATACTGAACATAGAACAGCTCTATCAGGGACTGTTTCCAACTGCTTCCTTACAACTGGAGCTCCAGACAGAGCAGTGATATAATGATTCCCCAGTGCTGCAGCTTTCTGGAAAAGGGAAACACTTCATTTCAAGTTTAGCTGAGGCTAAAATCAATTGTATCAGCTCAGTGCTTTCTCTTCAATATTGGTTCTGTAGGGTCTGCTGATCCTCTCTTCATACTTGACGATAAAGGGTTGCAATTTTAATAATTTATACACATTCCAACTGATTTTCTGTTTAACCTTGTGGGTCCTTCACTCAATGTGATTTCTTAAAAGTGGTCCCCCACTTTGGAGAGACTGCACACCCCTGGCACAAGTGATGAAAGTAAAAAAACACTCATAAATTCATTTTATTGATTACAGGAAAATCACAATTCTAACAAAATGAAGAAAGTGATAACCAAGTATGTGTTTGCTGCTGTTGTTTTCAGATTTTGAATCCAGGTGTTATAATAAAGAAATATAAATGGTTAATGTCTCAGGCATTTATAAAATACTGTATATTAGAGCATCAAGAGCATTATTCAGGTCTGTGCTGTTATGCATGAATATTAAACACTGCCAAGTGCAGGGAAAACACTGTCAATTC